GGACATAGGAAGACTGAGAGGTGATCAGGGCATATGATGTGAGATTCCCAGATAATCAGTAAAATTGATAGTAATAATAATAATAATAATAAGCCCTAAAAACCATTGCTCTGGTCTCTTCTATTGGACCAGAGATTTTCATTTTTTAATTAGAAGAAGCTTTTATATAGTTCTGTGTGATGAGGCTAATTGCTGCTAGATCTGCCAGACCTATGTGTAGACGCCTCTGGAACTGTGTAAGTCTTCTTAGGATTGAACAGTGTTAGAGTCACGAATCCATACACAATTAGTTAATTCCCAGAATAGTTTTACTCTTGTTGCCTGTGTATTACTTAATAGTTGCATTCAGTAAAGCTCAGTTACTGACTAAGCTGTCTTCCAGCATTATTCAGAAGTGCAGCTTCTGGCATAGGAACTGGGACATCTTTGAGATGCTAGGACATTATTCACAGGACAAGCAGAAGAGACATCAGGCATGCATGACCTAAGAGTTGTTCTTTCTATGACTCAGTGGTTTAAACCTACTCTGAAGGGCTTGCTGGCACTAACTCCTTGCCATCTGTCACTTGTCCCTCCAATTTGGGATCAAATCATACCAACTAGGATGACTCTTTCCCTGATATTGTGGAATTATGGAGAGCAAACCACCAGAGGGTTAACCAGCAATGTATTCAGCAAACATTGTTCAGAGACAAGAGGGAGAGCTGTTGGAACTGAAGTAAAGTCATGGAGGGCATGGTAGTTTTTGCCTATAAACCCAGCATTTGGGTCACTGAAGCAAGAGGATTGTAAGTTAGAGGCCAGTCTAGGCTTCATAATGAGACCCTGTCTCAAACTGGTGAGATGGAGTTGCTTGTGCCAGCCTTCCAAATGTAACTAAAAGACAAGAGGTTTATGGAAAATGGTCCTTACTCATGACTACCTGACACTTACTAAACATATTCTAACCTTAGTCCCTACCCAAGTTTCATTTAGCTCCTGATTGTGTGTTTGTTTCAGACATAGACATATGCCACTTTATAGCTGAGGTGGTGAAACAGAAAGCAGGGAAGTGTAAATGGTGTGGCAGAAATGAAAATGTTCTAAAGAGACATTTATGCCTCAGTGTGACTGTCAGACTATTGAAAAGATGAGTGTCAACTGCTTGCAAAGGAAACATTAGTTTTCTCCGATGGAGACTTACTGGGTATAAAAACCAGACTTAAGGGCAGGCCCCATGTCCAGCAGTAGACTCTCATCACTAAACTAAGTCAATGATATTTTTGGAGGCTTTTTTTCCCCTGTATCATAATGCTTTGTTTGCGCATTTGTTAAACCTTACATGTAAAGAGAAGCTTTTTCCTTGAGAGGAGCCTTCCCGCCAGCCTGGTTCTAGAGCCGCATCAGTCCCAAATAAACACACAGGAGGCTATATTAATTATGAAGCTGTTGGCCTTGCTTGTTTCTTACTGGATAGCTCTGACTTAAGTAATTACCCCATAATTGTTAATCTAAGTATGTTTCTTACTGGAGAATACTTCCGGGCTTCCTACCCCATGGCATTACATGTTGACTCTCTTGTGTTTCTCCTTCCCCTAGTCCTCCTGGACTCCTAGTCCCACCTATCTAGATTCCTACTGGCCAGCAGTGCTTTATTGACAAATAACAGGACTTCCCACATCATCTCCTCTTTTCTGTTTAAACAAAAAGAAAGGTCTTAACTTTAACATAGTCAAATTATATATAACAGAACAGTTATCAAGTAAGAACATAGTTACAATATTTTGGTAACATTAGCAAGATTTAAAGAAAATATCATCTATCCCATCCTTGTGAGTCCAAAGTTCTATATGTAGCTTATCTTTTATCATAACTAAGGAAAACCATAACTATCTATCTTCAACTCCATCAAAGACCACAGAAGGATAATATATAAACACTAGGATTGACAGAGACATCTTACTGCCTGGACAGTCACCCGAAGTTCCTCTGTAACATGTAACAATGTGTCTGGAACACTTCTCAGCAAAGCAGGAAATTTCAAACTGTCCATCTGCATTGGCAGTCTGTCAGTCATTTTTCTGTGTCCTGCAGAAAGTCTGGTAGACTCTTCCATAAATCAGGAACCCTGTAAGACTGAGTTCAGCAGTCACTTTTCTGTGGGTCCTGCATGTTAAGTTTATACAACAACAGTCAAGCATTATAGGCAAGAACAGTTTCTTGCCCAAATGGCTAATCTTGCCATGTTGAAAGCAAACTCCATAACAAGTTTCTTCGATGCCCATCTTCCTCTCAGACGTAATTGGTGCTGCCAGGAGCAGACATTTCTCAGAGCTATCCAGTAAGAAACAAGCAAGGCCAACAGCTTCATAATTAATATAGCCTCCTGTGTGTTCATTTGGGACTGATGCGGCTCTAGAACCAGGCTGGCGGGAAGGCTCCTCTCAAGGAAAAAGCTTCTCTTTACAGAATGGTGTCAGGAGTGGGATCGATGATGTGGGGCAGTTTAGATGTATCCAGTCAAATCAGGCGGAGTCGGGGAAGTGAATCCACATTCTCTTTCTGAAGCAGTTGAAGATCGCTGTCAAGAAATCCCTTTGTCTCTGGAAAACTGAAATATTAATGTTAGCACAGAAATTCTTAACTTTTATGTGTATGAATACTGGGAAAGGCGACCCTAAGGAAGATAATACACATGAAGGAAATTAGAGTTTTAGAAAAGAATCAAATATACACCGATGACAGTCCCCATATATATATGTGTATATATATATATACATATATATATTTGTTGTTGTTTCTGTCTTATATCACTTACATATTGTGCATATATATTTTGGTTTATGTGTTTATCATGCTCTTTCTTCTTCCTTCCTTCCTTCCTTGCCTGGAGTTGGATGGATGGGGAGGTAGTGGGGATATGGCATGAGTTGGGAGAGGGGAAACTGTAATCAGAATATATGGTATGAAAAAGTTATTTTCTTTTTATTTAAATTATAAACAACCTTATTTTATATATCAATCCCAGTTCCCTCACCTTCCCATCATTCCATGTTCCCCACCAACCCCTCCATCCCACCCCCCATCTACTCCCTAGGGATGGTGAAGCCTTCCATGAGGGGTCATCAAAGTCTGTCACATCATTTGGGACAGAGCCTAGGCCCTCCCATGTATGTCTAGGCTGAGACAGTATGATTCCATGAGGAATGGGCTCCCAAAGGCCATTTGCCCACTAGGAATAAATACTGGTTCCACTACCAGAGGCCCCATAGACTGCCCAGGTCTCCTAACTGACACCCACATTCAGGGCACCTGGTTTGGTCCTTTATAGGCTCCCTAGCTGTCAGACTGGGGTCTGTGAGCTCCCATGTGATCAGGTCAGCTATTTCTGTGGGTTTCCCCAGCATGGCCTTGACTCCTTTGTTCATCACTCCTCCCTCTCCACAACTGGATTCCAGGGGTTCAGCTCAGTGCCTAACTGGAAAAAATTATTTTCACTGAAAAAAACAGATGTTTTTTCAGTACTTTTATTTAAAATAGAATGGGGGGAGTTGGTGCTGGCATTGCAATTAGGCAACAGAAAAATGAAGTTCATCCAAATTGACGAGCAGGATGTTACTTTGTCCTTGGGAGCATATTGCATGATTTAAAGAAAACCCAAAGACTGCTACAGTGATTAGAGCTAATAATTTCATTCAGGAAAGTTACAGGATACAAAATCAACACACGAAACATCAGTAGTGTTGCTGAATGCCAAGTAGAAATCAAGGAGGCAACCTTATCTGCAATAGCTACAACAATTACAGGAGAATAAATTCAAACAAAGAGTAAAAATTACAAAACACATTAATCAGTTACAAAACTTGATTTGAAATAAGTGAAAGGCACAAAAACAAGGCCAGAAACTATAACTTACAAGAAAAATGTGTAAGAGGGAGCACTTCAGGACATTGGATGAGGATTTGTTTTTCTGTTGTTAAGATCCAGAAATTGAGCTGGGGATACCCCTCAGCCATTAAGAAGGCTCAAAGACCTACATCTAACTCCCAGAAGCCACATGAATTGCCTGGTATTGTGGTGTATGCATGCAACCCCAGCACAGGGCAGTAGAGATAAGAGGCTTGAGGGCCAGGCTAACCTAATCACCAGGGTCCAGATCCTACTAAGAGATGCTGAAGTGATTAAAGAAGACACTTAATGTTGACCTCTGGCTTCCAGAGTCCTCTCCTCCCCCCAACCTCTTTCTCTCTCTGTCTCTGTCTCTGTCTCTCTCTGACACAAACACACACACACACACACACACACACACACACACACACACACACACACACACACAATCTCCAAGCCACAGGAAACATAAGCAGCAGTAGACAAAAGAGATGACGTTAAAAGTGTTCATATAGAAAAGGAAGCAAGTACCACATTGTTGTACTCATAGTTGAAGTAAAAAAAAATGTTGATTTAAGTAGTCCTTAAATATATTTAATTTGCATGTGTTAACTAAACATATCAGGACTAGTTAAAGAAGCCAAAAGAGAATAAATATAGAGAAGTGGTGTTTTCAGGGGACCTGTTTTGTGTATTTATCATTTATCAGAAAAAAAAATTTAGAAGCAGTTAGATAGAGATGAGTGAAAAACTCTGTCTAGAGAAATACTGAGCAAACCAAATAAAGGATATGTGCTTGAATGGAAAGGGTGGTAAAGAAGACAGTGAGCTTGGACTGGAGATGGCCAGGAGCTCTCACAATCATTGTACTGTTGACTTTCTTCGTTGGGGGAGGCTGTAAAACTCCAAGTGCTATAGGTTAAAAAAGTACAGGATATATCACGGCTCCCGGAGGGGGGAAAAATCAGACATCAAGGCCTTGTATGAATCGTTTTTATCGTCAGTAAAAACAAATCTCTAGTTTGGTGATGAAAGCATATTTATTTTTTTAAGTACCATTATTTGAATTATTTGTGAACGACTGAAGACCAAACTTCCCTAATTTTCAATCCTGTGCTGTTTCTGATTTTTAGGCCTGGTCTGTAGTTCCTTCCTGAATATCCTAAATGGCTGAACTCTGCTTCCTGTGGCTGATTTTTGGTGCTTTCCGAAGGCGGTGTGATTACTTCAGGTTGTTGTAGTAACACACTCCACCCAGGGGACACATATCCGGGCACAGGAATGTACCCACCGCAGCTGACTGAAGAAGGCTAGGCAGAAGCCGTCCCCTTGGGAGGTGGGTGATGCAGCTGTGAGTCTATCTAATCTTAGTGCTGAGTGACTGGAGCCACAGCAAACGGCAACCTTCTAAGGGTAGCCTAGGAAATGCGTTCCCACAGACATACTTCCCACTTTCTCACGGTGAGTCACGCCCTGGTTTTGTTTCCTCAAGCAGATAACAGCTAATGTCAATGAAACATGGAACTTTTTAAAACAAAACCACTGATAACAGCATGTTATGTATTTAAAAGTTAGTTTCACTTTTAAATTCATCCATGAGAGAAGTCAGCCAAGAGTTTGGGGAAAAATGTCTCTCTTCCCACAAATGCACTCACTTATGCATACATAATACATACATACATACATACATACATGCACACATACATACATACATACATACTCAAATTCACACCTTACTATCAGGTGAGATTCCAGGATTCAGGAGAAAACACCAAACTTGGGGAAATTAAAATACATTTCTACCACCCCAGGGGCCTAAGTAAGAGACCTATTTCTTAAAACTGAAATAGAAAAACAAAACAACAACAAAAATCCCATAACAAAAAGCCAGAATTCCAAACTCAAAGATGGTTATTAGCCATCGTTTTCCAGTTACCTTACCAGGCCCCTCTTTTCTCTTCCCCCCTTTCCTCTTATCCCCACCCCCATGGCTCATTTCTGTCTCATTCCTTACCTCTTCCCTTGATATGTGTGTACATTTTGGCCTCTTCTCATAATGATGATAAAAAAACAAAACAAAACAGAATGTAGGTCTTCAAATCTTACTGATCTTGTCTGCCAGACTCTAACCAGCACTATTTCACTTAAGTAGCTCTGGACTCCTCGGTCACTTCTCATTCTGTTATTATCTGTTAGTTCCTTTTCTTTTCTTGCTAGTGTTTTGCCCTGGAACTCAAGCTGGACTTCCATTGGCGATCCTCCTGCTTCAGCTTCCCTAGTGGTGTGATGTACAGGTGTGTGCCTCCATTGCCTTGTGCTAATCACCTTTTGTCTTCCACACTTCTTAGATGCTTCTGTATAACCTTGATGTGCCGTTCCTAATTCCTCTCCAATTCCCGAAGTGCTCTTATCATCCTTCTAGAAGCCATGAGCATCACAAACAACTCACAGTTGCATCAGCTGTCTGGATCCTACACAGGCCTGTCTTCAGGCCCATTTGCTACAGCTCTTCTCTTCCATACAGGTGGCTGAATGCCGTGGAAACTCCATGTGGACTGAGTGTCACAGAGGGGAGGCTGAGTCAGTAGAAAGCATTGATGGGACATTACAGTGCATCAGGAAAGGAAAAGCCAGGCTGCTCCATTCTGCCTTCCTGCTGTGACCAACTGCAGTGGCTGTGTCTTTTTTTTTTTTTTTTTTTTTTTGTTCTGCCTCCATCTAGGTGGTTTTCCTTTGTTTCATCTCGGTTCTAGTTTCTGTCAGATGGGCTTTGTCCTGGATTCTAGTACTATCTCCCCCAAATGTCCCAATCAAATCAGGGACTATGTCCTTCTATTCTTTTTTTTTAATTAATTAATTGATTTTTATTTAAATTAGAAACAAGCTTGTTTTACATGTCAATCCCAGTTCCGAGGGAACTCCCTCTCCCTGCCTCCCTGCCTCCCTGCCCCCATTGACCCCATATGGTGTGTGTGGGGGTGAGGCCTTCCACAGGGATCGTCAAAGTCTGTCATATCATTTGGAGCAGGGCCTACGCCCTCCCCTGTATGTCTAGGCTGAGAGAGTACCTCTCTATGTGGAATGGGCTCCCAAAGTCCATTCGTTAAGGTATCAGTTTCTTCACTAAAACTGTTTGGGCTTCTCAACTCTTACAATATTTTTTCCCCGAGACCAGTTTGTGTAGCCCTGGCTATTCTGGTACTCACTCTGTAGACCATGCTGGCTTAGAACTCACAGAAATCCACCTGCTTCTGTCTCCCAAGTGCTGGGATTAAAGGAGAGCACCACCACCACTCAGTTTTACAATTCTTTTGTAATTAAAAAAAACATTTCATCTTTTCTGTATATGAGTGTTTTGCTTGTATGCATGGATTTGGAGCACATGTGTGCAGTACCCACAGGTCAGAAGAGGGAGTTGGATACCCAGAATTGTAGTTTCAGATAGTAGTGAGCTGTCATGTAGGTCCTAGGAATGGAACCCAGGTCCTGAACAAGAGCATCCAACGCTCTTTACCCCCAAGTCAGCTCTTTAGTACCTAGAGCTAGTAGTAAGTTGTAATAGGGAAGAGAGGAATGAAGAGGTGAGCTACATGGGGAAAGGCTCTTAGATGATGGTATTGAATTAATGAGCTTGCTGTGGCTATTAAATAAAGACAAAAGTGTGATTACAACTTAGTACCTTTCACATGACTTGTTGCTTTAAAATGTTAATAAGGAAGCAAGGCACCAGATCCAAGCTGACTATGAGACAAGTAACTACAGCATGGAGTCTATCAGGCAATACCAAAAGGAAGGAATGTCTTCTGTATCACTGAGGAAATGCTCAGGAGGGGATGATGGAGGTTGCAGGGAATGAAGCAAGAATCCACAGGAAAGACGAGCATTATGCCGGCTGGCTCAGAGTCAGGCTCCAAGCATACTTCACATGCCCCAAATAGCAGCTTTCACTGGGCTGTCTCACTCCTAATCGTTTGGCATTTCCTCAGAAACATTTTTGCTGGATAGGGTTGAAGCTGTGGGGTGAAAATCAGCCAAGAGTGCTTAAAATGGGCTATTTCTTAGAATTCATTACTTCTCAAAATCTGTCAGTAAAGTGGGAGTGAAGTGGATGCAACCTTCCTGGGAATGGAGAGAACCCAAACGCTCTGAAAGCCTTTAAAAGTTTCGGTGGACACGAATTTCCCACATAGACTATTGTTTTTGATGTGTGCATAGATCAGACAAGTTTCCTTTAGTGGGATCTCTTATTGATGATATCACAGAGGGGGCTATATGAAATCACAGGTCCATAGACCCCACTCTCAAAGGAAGGGAGCTTTCATTCTTAACTCCAGGTTTGATGTAGGCAAATGTGCCTGGCTGGGCACTCTTCCAGATTTTACTTTCTCGTGAGTCAACTAGAGGCCTGAAGCACCTGCAACATTTTAGTATAATAAGCTCTGAACTCCCTCATGTATTTGCGGAGTGAAAATGCACCAGTCTGAGTGATGTTCCTCATCATACAACACATGAAGATCCTCATTTTCTCCGGGTTGTAGGACAATGTTTTATGCCAAGTGTGATGTTGTATTCCAGTTATGATGTTTCCCTTTCTGTCTGTTGAATATGCTGTCTCTCACTTCCTGAGTTTCATAAACTATTTTAAAGTCAACATTGATCAGTTACTAGGTCCTCTTGTCTGGCTGGTTTCTCTTCAGGAGTTTTTCTGTCTTGTACACTGATAGCAGGATACCGTGGTGCTTGCCTATATGGGGTTGTTCTGCTTCATCTGATTCCTCCTAAAGAGATGAAGCAACTAGAAAATGAGAGAAAAGGCCACAGACCTTATTATGTGTTTTTATCCACAACAGAGCTGCCAAGACTGAAAGCCTTAGCTACCAATGGATTAGGGGACCAGGCATTGCAGCAATGGATGCTATGGAAGCTGCTGGGCATTGAGGACCTGGGCTTTGCTCAGATGCCACCGTTTGTACTGCTTGTTCAAGCTTCTCACTCCGTGTTTTCCTCAACTGCAAAAAGGGAAGGATTGTGGTGCTCGCTGCATAGGATTATTTGCAGAATGAAGTGAGGCCATCCAAGTAAGATGGCATTGTCCTTACTGGACACAGTGACCATTAAGAAATGTTAGTAACTCATTATCTTTTAAATCCACATCTTCTGGGACCAAGAGTCAATGCAAATAATAGTCTTTTCCAGAAATACTGCTGTGGGACTGCCTCACACCGACAGAAAGTAGATGCTGTGCACGTCATGAAGACTCCCCTTTGAGGGAAGACATTGTTTCCGTCTCACATTGATAACCCTTCCTCCTCCAAGCAAGTGACTCACCATTAATGTAAATGGAGAAGAAAAACAAACTCAGAAAGCAAAGGAAATAAAGCCTGCCCCCTTTAATTATCACTCACATATTTCATTATGTTGGATTCCCTCAGCCCTGAAAATAAATATACAAGTAACACAATGAGACAGGAGATGCAATACCTGTTTGTTACTGATATGAACAACAGAGCTGATAGGGGAAACAGATGATGGGGGAAGAAATATGCAGACGAGAGAGAAAATTTGCTGGAGAAATTTCCTAAGAACCAGAGGTGAAACAGGACTTATAAACACTAGAAAGGTTGGCCTAGAAGTAATAGATGTATAGGACATCTATGGGTAGAAATTTTAGCTAAGAGGCCATAATAGAGACTGTATTCAAGTGTAGAAGACTAGATCTTGCAAGAAGCAAACTTGAGTAAAGTAAAAGTAGACAGCAAGAAATTTATTAGGAAAATGTATAAATAACGGTTGAAGAGAAAGCAAGAGAGTGGAATCTGTACCCATGAAAGAAGAAAGGTGTGTTGGCAGAGCCTAAGATGCTGAGAGAGAATTTGAGAGACCAATAAAAAGATTCCCCTTACAGAAGTCTTGCATCTGCTAAGAAGTGTCTCCGGATAGTGGATGGGGGCAGTGAGGGAAGGACTGGCCACGGCATGAGTGCCACTGAACTGTGAGCACACAGAACCTACACGTTATCTGACTCAGTGCTCCACTTTGGAGGTATTCTCAGCAGAAGAGCTCAGTGACAAGCCTTTATGAGTGTCACAAAAGCTCAGGAGAGAAGTACACTACCATTGGCAATGGAAAGCAATGTGTGGCAGTTTTTCAGGCAGAGTTCAGGGTCTTCGAAAATCATGTTGCTGATTCAGGTGGTTGTGTCTTTGCCTGAATGTATAAGGATGTTCATATTTAGGTCCAGGGCAGAAGGAAAATGATTCCATCAGGGTTGAAGTCTCAGCATTCGAACAATAGGGACCTGAGGTATGTGAGGATATATACACAGTAGTGAGCAATACAGACAGAAAGAAAGCCATTGGGGTTTAGAAGAAGAAGAAGAAAAACAAACCAGTAACAACAAACAGGAGATAATAGTGAACTGAAACCTGTGCTAAAATAGATGATGTTTAGATTACTAAGAGAGGGCATCAGAAATAAGACTTTACAGCTAGTGATCAGAAGATGGGGTATATTAAAATTGAGATACTGAATTGTAGCTATTAGAACTAACAAGGCCTAGTACATTACTAAGAGAATTAATGGTGATGGTGGATTAAAGGGCAATTTGGTATTGAGAGGAATTTCAGACAGAAAGGGCAAAGTTGGAGGCCTCATTTACATGTGTGTTAAAATTAGCAAAAATAAGACAAGAGTAACATTAAACGGACTAATAAAGATTCCACAGCTAAAAATCACCCAGAAACGAATGATTCAAAAAGCAGTAGGTGAAGGGAAGTATGGAATACAGACAGAATGAGATCCTGGTTTGAAGGTGGGTAATGGGATGTGTAAAATATCAGTAAGAAACAAGCAGAACCCTTAGCCTGCAGATAGGCCCAATGGTGCAGTGGGTTATGACAGAAAGAAGAACCTTAGCCAGGGAAGAGCCCTGGTAGTGGGGGAGTGGACTGTGGGGCTGAGGAGGGTGGAGGAGTGGGGGATAGAATCCTCAGAGCAGATCTTGTCTGGGTCAGGACAGGAAGGTAAACAAATGTGTCTTCTCTTCCAAGTCTTGAAATGGGTCTTAAATAAACTGTCACTGTTCATTTTTCTTTCTTTCTTTCTTTCTTTCTTTCTTTCTTTCTTTCTTTCTTTCTTTCTATTTCATTTTCTCCTGAGCAATTTAGACTCTTAGAATGTTGAGGGTGGTAGCTCTTTCAAGATCTTATTTCTCACCAACATAATCTGAAGATAAACATGCTGAAGTTCAGAGAGGTTACATGGTTTGACCAAGTTAGCACAGAGGCAAAGAGACCCCAGCTACTGTTTTCTTGTGCTAAGCAAGCTCTTTCTTTCTGTTGTGCCAAGACTTGGCAGAATGTCAGCTTAGGGGAGAACTTGACTGACTTGCATGTAAATAAATAAATTAAAAAACACTAATATTTTAAAACAAAGGGGTTTGGAGGTACAGCACAGTGGCTGAGCACTCACTGAGCTAGAAGTTCTAGTGAAAACTTTTATGTTACTAACAGATTACCATGACAGAGTGAGCTGGTCAAACTAACTCCTTTTTTCATCTGTGGTTGACCAGTAGTCCTTATCTCACTGAAATGTTACAGAAATCGGTGAAGGAGTGTGGAAAATGCATGGGGACGATCCTTGCATACAACAAGGCTTAACCACTTTTTCAATATGTTGTGTGTCAAGGGATATTTGATCTCACTGTGAAACTCTGAGACCATGTTATTAAAATTAACTTGGATCAGGGGTGGAATCAGTGACTAGTTGACAGGAATTAGGCATAGAGAGAATGGAGGAGCCAGGAATACGATAGACACACAGGAAGCGGTAGGGAGAGACGTAGAGATTCAAGGTTTTTTTGGTTTGGGATGAGTAGAGAGACACTTCTCTTGCTGGGTCTCCAGCCAAAAAGGAAGGTCAGCTGTTTGCTTTTTGACTTCTCTAATCTAGAAGGCTTTCACTCCAACATCTGACTCACAGGTCTTTATTAGTAAATAAAATGGTATGAACTTAGTTAAAACCTCTGTTTGGTGGCATTGGCCAATCTGGTGCTGATGATGTTATATTCCTACCCAAAAGCCTGGTGATACTTTAATAGTTTATATGTATACTAATATATATTATATACAGGTTACATACCTATACATTCATATATATACATACATATATACACACACATACACACATATATGTTAACATGCACACACACACACAGTCCCTGTAATGTAACCTGTGTGTATATATTTTAAGGCTGACCACTTGGTATTGGATAACAGTTGGTGTGCTCTTCCCTGGGGAAGATTACTTCTCCCACTTTTAGCATTCCTTAAATGACTATTTAATTAAATTCATCCTTTGACAATTTCACACATCTATGTAATGCACACTAGCTACTCATTCTCCAGCCTCTCCTGTCTCCTTGTTATGAATCTGTATAAGTTTATTTCTCTCATTTACATCTATATTTTATTGTTTTGTGAGCCACTGATATGGGTTTGGAGATATCCATTAAAACCTAGTAGACTTCAGATACAACTGAAAATAGTGGTTCTATTTCTCCCAGATTATATCTCTAGTCAATAGTTTAGCAGTAATGGGTAGAACCTCATTAGTCATGTTGTCTTCCATGACTGATTTTTGACAGAGCCAGTCTCATGGGGACCTAATACAACTAACTACAATTATGAGTACATGGTTGAAATGGTTGCATAATGTATAGAAAAAGGCATTTTGAAGCCCTTTACCTTATCTTATGAATCTTGCATACTTCCTTTGCCCTGTTCATCAGTATTCTTTAATACTTAAGTGAAAATATTAGAAGGTTGGTGTGTCTTGTTTTGGGCTAGGCCTCCAACTGTTACTTATTCTCAGCATCATATGCAGCCATGAGCCTCTGAATTCACTAGTGTTCACTGCAAAGAGAGGTTCTCTGATTAAAACTGAGAGTAGCTTTTGTCTGTGGGTGTGAACCTAGATATTTAGAAGGCAGTCTAATGCTATGTCAGATTAGTTAGACAACAGTAGTCAGTTCCCCTGGTGGGCCTATGGCCTCCTGAGTCATAGATTATTGACTGAGACTACAGTACCTGAGTTATCTCCCACGAAGCAGCCTTAAATCCAATTAGTGGATGGTTGATTACACCCACAACAATTGCGCCACTATTGCACAAGTGGACACAGACTGGCAGGTTGATTTTCTTGTTTCTAGGGTTCATACCTAGGTAAGATCATTGATGTCTTGATGTATATATAAATTGTTTATACATTTTTTGTTTGTGAATAATGCTAGGCTCAACATGAGAGTACTAGTGATTTTTGGTATCCTGATTTCAATTCTTTGTGTTTATATATTCTGAAATGTGATTAGCCAATTGTATATTAGTTTTATTTTTATTTTTTTGAAGAATTTTCACATTGTTTTCCATACTGATTGTATTATTTTGGATTCTTACTTCAAATGCTCAAGGGTTCTAACTTCAATCTCTGAATGTGCTCTTTCCCAAATGCATTAATCTCTTAGGAGAGAATATACCAGAAAAATTTCATAACTGGGACAATGTTTTCTTTGATGTGATATCAAAAGTATAAGCAACAAGGGAAAGAGGATTGACACAGACTTCAAAACTTCTGCACAACAAAGAACACAAACTCAAAATGAAGAAGAAACATAGAAAATGGATAAATGACCATATATTGCAAACTGCATATCAGATGGAGTTAAAGTATACATCTGAGTATATTTATACAATTCAGGCATAAGGAAATAACACAATTAAGAACACAAAGTGTCAGAACACCCATTACTCTAAGGAAAACATACAAATGGCCAACAGATATATGGCAAGGTCTCCAACATTACTAATCTACAACAAGAGTCAGCTTATATCAGTTAGCATCATGATTAGGAGAACTAACAGATAACAAATGAAGTTTCTTTTTTCATATGAAAGAAGATATTTTATCCACTTATGTACTTAAATCATGAGCAAGGGTGTATTCTACCAATAAGCATACATGATTCAAGTTTTTTTTGGGGGGGGTTTGGTTTTACAAGACAGGGTTTCTCTGTATTGTTTTGGAGGCTGTCGGTTCAGCCTGGCCTCGAACTCACAGAGATCCGCCTGCCTCTGCCTCCCGAGTGCTGGGATTAAAGGCGTGCCACCACCGTCCGGCACATGATTCAAGTTGAGCAAATTTGAATCATCTTTCTTTTCGGGAAAAGAACAGGAAATTTCACTTGTAACTTATCTTTTAAGTACTTTGTGAGAGTAAGGAAGAGTTTCATGAGTTACAAAAGCTTTTCATAGTTGCACTACATCTCATTATAAACTATCATTGCGATCTCCCAGTTGCATCAATGAAATTCAGAAGCACTTTGTGCATGTCTGCTTCATCTGTTTTGTTATAATTGCTTGCCTTTGCATAGCGCAGTGTATAAATTTTGTGTGATTTGCTTTCTCTCTT